CAAGTGTAGGACACTGCCCATGACACTAGGTGGAAAGGGAGGGGCTGTGCTGAGAGAACTGGGAATTCTCGATGGTCCTGCAGGAGCGCTCTCCGCACATTGCCTCTCTTTACTTCCTTGACAGGGCCCTTCTGGCCTGGTGCTGATGTAAGGGCAAGGGCTGAGAATTTCATGGTCCTGGGGCTCAGCTCAGGAAAGCCCCTCTTCCTTCCCCACGCAGCCAGTCTGCTGCTCTCCAATCCGAGTGCCCCAGTCAGTCGCCAATCAGAGAGCGAGGCTCAGACTGGCCCTGGAGTCACTCTGCACCTCCCTTCCCACCTCCCCTGGGGGCCAAAGGGTTCTGGAGGCAGGGCCTGGGCTTGTCCACCGGGAGTTCTCAGACCCCAGCTCAGGGCCCTTGCCTGTACCAGCAGGGGCTCCAGCTGCATGATGAATGCGGATGTGGGGCTGCGGGCGGGCCCCACTGGGAGCTGGAGCACCAGAGACTGGAGTGGACTCAGAGTCCTGAAGCTACAGCTGGCCTCAGCCCCTTGAGCATGGCTGATCTGGATGGGGTTCCTGAGGGCCCTACCCCAGGATGTTGTCTTAGTGAGGAGGTCACCCCGCCTGTTCTTCCTGCCTCTCTTAACAGCCTCTCTTCCTTCCCCACTCCTCGGCCGACCGCCCCCCCCACTCCCAGGGGAGTACGCTGAGGGCGTCAGTGAGCGTGACATCCTGCTCATCCACTCCTGCCGCCAGTGGACCACTGTCACTGCCCACACCCTGGAGGAAGGCCACTACGTCATCGGGCCCAAGATTGACATCCCCCTGCAGTACCCAGGTGTGTCCAGTTGCTGCATAAGGCCTCTCGTGGGGGGCGGGCTGTCGACCAGAGGGTCTGGAGCCCAGGGTAGGGAGTAGGGCAGGCTTTCAGGGAGCTACAGGGATGCTAAGTCTTAGTATCATCCAGTCCATGCTGCCTCTTAGTGACCCCTTCCCTGGCTCCCAAGACGGTCACTGTGCATGGGAGTAGAAATCCCAGTCTGTCTCCCAAGAAGCTGCTGGTGATTTCAAACTGCCAACCATGAGGATCGAAACCCAGCTCGGAACCGCCACACTGCCAGAGCCCCCTACAGAGATGCTAGTGGGCATGAAGTTAAAGCCCTGGCTGGTGGGCACAGTGATGGTTGGTTGGTTCCCAGTCTGGACTGGAGCACCAGTCTTCTGCAGAGGTGGCTCCTAGGTTTGCAGATTTGAAACGAATGATTGAGAAAGCAGACACCCAAACTGCTGCAAATCAAACTCGGACCCTAATTAGAGACCTGGCGCTGCCTCGTGAACTCTTTCTCCATACAGACCCTCAAAGATAACACACTGCAGGAGCTCCTCGCTAGTGTGCAGCCCCTGTACTTTAGAAACAAACGAGGTGCCCGGGCTGCCCCTGACAGCTTTGAATCTTATTTCCCCCAATTTTTATGCTGGTTGAATAGCTCCCTGTCTTTATCATCGGCTTTATGAGTGAAAGTGACAGTGGTAGACTCCTACCCCCAATGAGATGGTGCTAACAGACCTCCACTTGGATCTCTTGTATATACGGTGCTGATGTCCTAATAAGCTTGTGCTTGAGGGGATTCTGCTGACAGAAAGGAAGGACAGCCAGCCCTCTGCTGTCCTGAGGATGACCCAGAGGGCCCAAGATGAAAAGTGATTCGCTTAGGGCCCAGATAGCTCTAAGTAGCAGAGGGAGGGCCAGACCCAGGTACCCTGACCCCGAGGCTGGGGTTTGCTGCATGCTTGGGAGTCTGCCAGCCCCCTGCCCAGAGAAGCTTCCCTGACCTGAGCCCAGGATCCCACAGCTGCTGTGTGCTGAGCATGGGCGGGCTCTTTCTAGAGTGGATTTCTCACCGGAATCCTGAGAGAAAGTCTTACTAACTCCAGTGAGCTCCAGAAGCCCAGAGCTTCTCACGTTTGCCCAGGTCTGTGCACTCTGCCTCCGATAAGGTGGACAGCAAAGGTTGGGAACCCTTCTAACTGGGCCCCAGGCAGTCTGCTCTCTGTCCTGGGCTTCCTCCACGGCTCCAGAGTGGACAGGGTCAAGCTCTTGGCAACAACCCTGCGAAGTTGCTGCCTCTGTGTCCCTCATGGGAACTGGCTCTGGGGTCTTTCTGATTTGGGGTCCTGCCCTGTGCCTGGAGCCCTTGCTGGGGTCTGGACTAGGGCAGGGACTTCTCCACGCTAGAAATTCCCCAGCCTGGGAATCTGGCTTTGATCCAAGGAGAGGGCATAGGGTGGCAAACACGCAGGCTGATAGAAGCATGATTTGAGGGTCTCCACCTCTCACCTGGGTCCTGAGAGCTCTGGTAAAGATGATCACTCTAACAACCAAACCTGGCCTCCCAGTGCACTCTGATTGGAGCTGCGGTAAGGGGCGAGACTGAGCCCCAGTCTTTTCTTAGTTGCGGGATTCCGCCTGCCGATCCGATTAGCAAACCCTTGCAAACGGGCTGCGCCACCCAGAGGCCTCTGAGAAAGACCGTCCTTTTACAGAGGGGGTATATCAAGGCACACAGTCTCCTAGGGAATTAAGAATCCAGGGGGCACATAGCCCTCTCCCTCCATCTCCGTAGTGCCCCCCTGAGTGTGTGTATGGTTGTACTAATGGGGCGACAGCTGAGTGTTTCGTCTGCACCCCATTTTTCTTGTGAGCAGCTCTGCCTTGCCCCCCCCTCCCCCAGTGAGTGAGGGGAAGCGGATGCCCCTTAAGTGGGGGAGGGGCCAGGCCACCGGGTTAACGAGGCTGAGCCGAGTGCTCTGCGGACCGGACGCTGATTTCTCCTAATGAATTAATAATGAAAGCTGTGCGGCAGGGGCGGGCCGGCTTGGACAGAGTGGAGGGGGAGGGGGGAAGTGGGAAGGGCCGTGCCCGTGCAGAGTGGTGGTGGGGGGGGGCGCTGCTAGAGCCCCCCTGCGTTCAGCGCCCCCCTGCGTTCCTCCCCACCTCACCCGTTTCCCACTGGGAGGCGCCTAAATGTGGCTCTAAAATACACCCCAAGGGCCCCGTTGGAGGGTGTTAGGCTTGGCACCACATACGGAACACTGCACCCGGCGTTCTGCCCTGGGGCACTTGCCGATGTGCCCTACGGGGGGAATGGGGGCAAAGCCACACAATCTGTTGGTGGCAGAGCTGGGTTTCCACCAGGCCTGTCAGATTTCAAAGCCCACCTTCGTGGTGGTGTTGTTACCACTGGTTCAAACCCACCAGCCACTCTCCTGGAGAAAAAGGGGGCTTTCTCCTAGTGGCAAGAGTTACAGTCTCAGAAACCCACTCGGGCAGTTCTACCCTGCCCTGTGGGCCGCTATGATCAACTGGACTCACTGGCAGTGGGCTTTTGTTTTTTTGGGGGGTCTTGCCTTTTCTTGAGCATCTATCAGCCAGTTTTGGGGGCAGGGGCGGGGGGTTGAGGAGGTTGGTAGGTTGTTGTTTTTGTTAGGTGCCATGAGTTGGTTTGGATTAGAGCGACCCTGAGCACAACAGAACAACACTGCCGGTCCCGTGCCAGCCTCACAATTGATCCTATGCCTGAGCCCATCTTGCAGCCACGCGCGTCCATCTCCTTGAGGGGCTTGCTCCTTTTCACTGCCCTTCCACTTTACCTAGTATGATGTCCTTCTCCAGGGGCTTGCCTCTCCAGACAACATGTCCAAAGTATGTAAGACATAGGTGGGTTATACAGGAGACCTTGGAAGGACAATCAGGCAGGCGCTTTGTGTTCTGGGGGTCTGAGACAGGGATACGGTGCAGGTCAGGGTGGGCCAGGCTCTGGGGTGGAGAGGGATGCAGGTCTCACACAAAGGGTAGCAGGAGAGGAAGCTACCTCTGGCCTGCCTTCAGGCTGGGGGAGGAAAAGGCTTCCAGGGGCCAGAGCTGGCTCCCAGGGGAGGGGGAGTGTCTTCCTTCCTTCTGCACAGTTGTAATGGCAGGCTGGGGCTCCGGCTGGGTGCCATGGTTACATCGATCCTAGGTGGCCGCAGCCCTCCGGGGGCTCCAGCCCCAAGTCGCTCCAGCTCTCCCTACAGGGGGCGCCGGGCCCATTCTCTCTTCAGACTGCTCCTGCTTGGGATGCAGCCCCTTCCCAGCCTCCACTAGGGGAATGTTGGGTTTGGGTGTGACTGGGGGTTCGGGGAGAGGGGGTCCGCACATTGTCTGGATCTCCTGTTCCTAACTCTCAGACTGCTGCTGCTTCCCACATCCCCTCACGGTTAGCACATCTGCAGCCTCTTTCCAGGAAAAGCCCAGTGGTTAGGGCAGGGCCCAGGTTCCCATCCAGGTGTCTCCTGGGCTTTCTGGTGCTCCTTTCTCATCCAGCTCCGGGGGGTCTGCACTGCAGGCCCTGGCCTTGGCCTTCTGCTCTCCATGCTGTCACCAAGAGGGGCTAGGATCCCGAGCTCTGGCCGGGCTCTAGGCGCTCCTGAAGCGTGTGCAGACCAGTCTGGTAGTGACCTTGTTGGATAGAGTAGATCTGCCTCAGGGCTCCCAAGACAATAGGGAAAGCCTTCACCTCATCTTTCCCTGGAGGAGCAGCTGATGGGTAACAACTGCTGCTTGTCGGTAGCCGAGCGCTTCCCCTCTGGTGCTACCAGAGCTCCCTTTGGGGGGGCCCAGGTACCCCCAATCAGATACAAATTGTGTGTGCGTAAGAGCACAGTATGGGTTTTCTGGGAAGCCCCCCCAAACAAAAAGGGGTTAAGATCCTTAGCTCTTCCCATCCTTGAGCCTTTTCACGTCCTCAGCCAAGGCCACCATCTGTGGGCGTGGCCTCCTCATGCTCTGCTCCCAGAGGCTCACCTGTGGGGGTGGGGGTGGGCAGCACTACCTGGCGGCCCCTCCCTTGCCCTGGCCAGGATTGGCCCCTGCCCACATCTTGCTTCTTCTAGACTTGGTCATCTCCACTTCTGACCCGGCTGGTAGCCTGAGACACCCTACTCGGCCCCTCCCTTGCCGTAGGTCACTCCAGATCGAGGAGTCTCTCATCTAATAGCTCGTGACCAGGCCACTTACCTGAGTGGGTTTCCAGTGGTCTGGATGGCGTTCACTTGGATCAAGGTATTTCCTTGCTAAGAACACTCCACTGGGTCTCACTTCCTCCCAAAGAAAGTCTTCCAGCTGCTGTCTGCCCTGCCTCCTGCCACCCTCCCTCGGGCACTCTCCCTCGAGGCACCCGCGGCCTGCTTTCCATCTCCTTGCCTTTGCTGCTGCCATTTCTTCCATGTGGAATGCTCATTCTGAAAAACCTCTTTCATTCCTAAGGTGTAGCACAACGATCCTGGCTGATTCTGCTGCTGGTGTCTGCCCCACCTTTCAGTGACCCCCCTGGGTAACCCCCACTTTCAGTGCCCCCTTGGGCACCCCCACTTTCAGTGACCCCTCTGAACATCTCCCGTTCCTCTTTCATAGCATTTGTCACCTCCTGCCACCACGGGGTACTTCCCCTCCCACGGACTGTCTTGTCTTCACTGTGAGCAGACTGCATGTTATGCAAGTCTGTACCTGGTTCTGGCCTAACCCGGTCTCTGGCACACAGGTGCACCCCCACTCTTTGTGGAATGCCTAAGAAAGGTAACAGCGGTTGAGGCATGCACAGACAATGTTCTGAGGCTACAGCCCCTTTTCCTTCTTAGCCTGTCATCCCCTGGGCCAACCAGAGCCTCGGCCTCCTCTGTGAGCCCTGGGAGGAGGAACTAGGGCAGTTACAGCCTCTTCTTATGTGCATATTGGGGGGAGCTGGCATAAAGGTGTGACAGTTTACACAGGTATACATTCAGTGTCGGCCTCACTGAGCATCACCCCTCCCTTAAATCTGTGGCTCTGGGAGGCATGTGCTGAGCCAGCCCCATAAGAGCCCTGAACTATAGGCTAGGAGGGCCCCATTGGAGGGAGCTGACTTTGTAGGACTTAGCGCAGTGGCCTCTGGGATGGAGGTCTGGGCTTTGGATCAGAGAGCAGAGCTGGGGTCAAAGAAGCTGCTCCCAGAGCCTGCAAGGCTCAGGGCTGGCTGGTGCATCAGCATAGAGCAGTGCCCCAAGGGATACAGGGCCCAGGATCACTGCCTCCAACCTCCAGGTGAGGTTCCAGAAGCCCTTCTAGGGCCACAGCAAGTCAGAGGCCAGGCTGGGATGAAGCCCTGAGCCAGCACCCCAATGCCATCCTGATGGCCCACAGGTCCAAGGCCAGCTCTGTGTCTAAGGACTATGTGTCCCACTTTGCAGTTGGGGTTCTTGGGATTGGCGCCACTGCCATCACCCACAACCTTTTCACAGCCAGAAGGGCTGGACTCTCCCCTCACCCAGCCCTGTGCTGGATGAACAGCCTCCACCAGCTCACGCCCACCTGTCTACTACCCCTGCCCACCTGCATCCCAGAAGGGCTGGCTGAGTGAGGGCAGTGTGACCCAGGATCCCTGAGGGCTCTCAGGATCCAGGCCAGCACCCCACCCAATCCCACGCCCACCCCCGCCCCAGCAGCAGACCCCTCCCGGTAGCGGTAGCCTGCATTCTTCCTGTGCAGGCAAGTTCAAGCTCCTGGAGCAGGCCCGGGATGTGCGGGAGCCAGTCCGGTACTTCAGCAGCGTGGAGGAGGTGGCCAGCGTCTTCCCAGACCGCATCTTTGTGATGGAAGCCATTACCTTCAGCGTCAAGGTTAGTCTCTCCCATGCCAGGCAGGCTGCCCTCTCCTCACCCCACAGGGTGACCAGGACCCTGATGGGAGGGGCCCTTGGCAGTTCCGGAAGGAGCGGTGTCCAGTGCGTTCTGACAACCCCTTGAGGGGCTTTGGCACAATCGGACCATGTCTGAGGAGATAACTCACTGGGTCGAAGGACTTCCTGCCACAGGTGTGAAACTGGAGGGCGAGTGTGTGTGGAGGGTCACCTGCGGCCTTCTGGGCCAACCTGTCCCTGCCTCCACCGGAGAGTCACCATTCCGCACCTGTACTTTACAAGCCCTCTGTTCCCAAGTTAACTGCCCTTCACAGTAGACTTGTTGGATAGGTGGGGAGTGATCACTCATGTTTTAAAGAAAATGAGAAAACAGAAAGAGATAATGCGTACGTTCAAAAGTATATAATTTTTATTTAT